ATGTGTCGTTATTATGGCAAGAGTCGACTAAACGAAAGCAAAGAAAGCCAGGGTGATACTAAGTATAGTAGAGCCTTTTCTACTTATTACATAATGTGTTTAGTTCTTATAGGATTACCACGTTATAGCCCTCTAGAAACGCAAGCTGGAGGGCGGCGCTGTGGGCTTCCTTTCCCTTATCCACGTTTGCCTGAAAGATTTTAATTGTCACTGGCGGGGGATTAGGTCGTCTTTTGTTATTTATGTGTAGACTAAGTCGTTATTCGTCGTTTTAGTGGCGACTGGTCCCGTCGCCGAGCTTCCTGCGGCGGGCTGCTTAGGGGAGAGTGTCGGGGGGATGTTCGAACTAGGATCTCTTATTCTGCTGGAGCATCACTTAAGGGGTTCGTGGTCTTAGAAGGGATCATCTGCCGGGCGATATTTGCGCTAACATACATCTTTTTTAAGAGCGTGGGCCTTGATATAATCTGTCCCATGAGCCCTTTTGTCGCTAGGTCTCCCGATCGCCGGCTGATTACTAAGATCGAAGCTTACCTCAAGTTCTTAGGGACCTCTTTCTCACTCTGGTCATTTTGCCGTGTGTCTTCTCGTTCGTCTATAATATCGTTGTTGTCATTTTCGTCTTCGTCCTGGTTGTCTGCATCTTCGTCCTCGCCCTCGTTGCTGTCGGTGTCATCCTCTTCCCCCCTTCGGTTCTTTCGCTTCCTTCAACGTCTCCGGCTGCGATTCCTCCTCCGTATACTTGTTCTTAGCTATTAGGTACTTCTTCCGCTCTTCTAGTCTCTATATCCTCTTCTTCGATAGCACACGCATCGCTCTGCAGCTGTTCTTGCTCGATGTCTCTTATGTCATCGTCTCCTCCTAAGGCGGGCAGAGAGTCCTCCTGTGGCGGTGTCGTGATGTCGTCTTCTTCGGCTGTGTCCGCCATCTCTATGTCAATCTCTTCTATGTTGCCGATTGTCGTGGTCTTATTGTTCTGCGTTCGTAGGTTGTCTAGTGACTGGGTCATGTTTTTCCATGTTCTGTCGGCTATAATCGTCTGCTCTGAGTTTTCTAGCGTGGCTTTTCTGCGACTTCGAGAGTTTGTGGTAGGTGTTACCGACCTTCTTGGGTCGTGCGTAGCACTGC